AAATTCATATCTATCATATTCTAACTTCAATAATAAATTGATAATAAAGCATTAATAATTCACCTTCTTAAAAATATTCTTAAAACTTTATGTTGTTATTGAACTAACTAACTTTTTTCATTTTTTTACAATTATTTTGATTTATTTATTTATTTATTTTTTTTTTGTCATATTTTCTCATATAATTATTTCGTTTTGACATCACTGTCAAAACTGACTTTTTAATGAGAACTGACTTGTTAATTGTTCTATTTTTGTTTTCCGTAATATATATGTTGTCATATCTTAGGTGTAATATATTTCAACATCGATGAGGTAACACGATGTTACCTCCGGCTTTCCGCTGATTGCCGTTAATGCGTGAATCTGTGTAGGTAATGCAAAGTGCAGCGCTCTCCACATACAGAGGTATGCTATTGTCTTTACAAATGCATCTTCGCGCTCATTCATGCCCATACATACGCATATTACATGAACAGTACGCATGTACATATATTGTTCGAGCCTCGTTTGCGACGATCATTTATGACAGGAAGTGGTGGCTATACTTGCCAAACGCCCACCAACCTGTATATATACTTGATTTCTCGTAGTTTTTTCGCGAGGAAATGAAAATTTCCAAATGTTCAAATTGATGGTGTTTTGCGAAATTTAAAATAGTCTTTCTTTTCTTTTTTATTTCATTACTAATTTGTGAAATTATAAAATACATACAATATTTATTAAATAGAATAATAATTTACACACAAAAAATTGAAAGAATTGTAAGAATAAAAAAAGAATGTGTAATTTATTCTATATTATCATTATTTATAATTAATAGCTTAAAGATAATATATCATTTTGCAAAGATTAAGAAATATCGGTTTATGAAATATCGTTTCTGAATAAAGTTTATTTCCTTAGCAAAGTAAGAAACGATAATAAATGAATGGTCAATTATTCTTATCGTTCCATATCACGATTGTCCTGATTATTCTCGCAGCTTTGCTTTCATATAATTACGTTTCTCTATATACTCACCCGTCTAGAGAAATCCATCGTTCTTCTTTCCTTGTTTTTCCGTCACGTCATTTAAAGGAATATATATTTGTGGCGGTACGCGCGAAGAAGTAGGAGAGAAGGCGTTTGCTGCGCGGTAACACCGTCTAACTGTACGTGAATACAACTGATACCATGCGTTTCTCACTAAAAAGAAACCGTACCGGTGCGGACTCGTCCGGAAGTCGGCCCGGAACCTCGATCGGCCAGCCGTGACCAACGGGTACTTGGTGGATATGTTTCAACCATGCGGGCATCGGTTCTATGGCACACACATCTCGTTCCAACGCACCTGTGCTGTATTTTTCTAACATCATTCTGATATGTTGAAGACCATTTCTTTGTTTTAATTTTCTTTTTTTTTTCTAATTAATTTTAATTCAAATAACGGAGACAATGCCGATCATATTTTTCTCTTATTTCACGAAAAATTAAGATTATGACTGAAGAAAACGATTGTTATATTTTTTATATCTTTATGCATATTAATTATTTATTTTAAAAAAATAAAACTTTACATCTTTTTTTTAAAACATACAAATTATAATTTAAATTACAATTTACTATATCAATTAAACGTTTATTATAAAATAAAAACGTTTATTATAATATAATTCATCGTCACTTAATTCATTGAAGTTGCGTGAATAACTATGTGAAATTTTGTACAAACTGTTGTTTTTCTATGTATGGACAGAAATGGGATCGTCTGTCAGCCAATTTTAACGGGGCTACGAGAAATTTTTGAAGTTTATTTTATATGACGTGGTAAGAAGCTGATGGACTGGAGAAATGATGAGTCCGACCACTCCAGCGGTTTGTGACTGTTTCTCGTATATCGTGAATCCTTCAGTTCCATCGATAATAAATCGCGTCCTTTCTTTTATGAGTAGTTGAAAATTTTGCATGGGACGAGAGAAATTTTTTGTCGAAAACTATGAGCGATATATGTTTATCAGTGGCATTAGGATGTAATGTTTGCTCTCAAGGAGTACAGGTTTACACGGTTTATTCATTGTTGAAATATTTATTTGTAACGGAATATAAATTATTAGTTTTTGAATGAAAATTAAAAGTTTTGGAATTAGGCGAATTTCGGCAGCTGTAAAGAGTCAAGAAGTTTTACATCGGCCCTCGAGCGTCTAGAATTAGAGGCAGAAATTGAATCTAGAAATGATACGATACCGCTACGTCGAACAAGTGATGCGCAAACTGAACCGTCTGATGATACTGATCAAGATTTGTTCGGCTTGAATGCTAGAGATATGTTGCCTTACAGAAAAAATATTCAACATTCTGATATTTTGAATTTTCAAGTATGACATTTAGATTTTAACATTTATTATAAAATTATACCAAAATTAGCGATACAGATGTGAATTTTAGGGTGTTATGCATTCACCAGAAGATATTGCTCGTTATTGGAAGAAAGATTCACGAATGTGGCTTTGGAAATCTGTAAAGCTTATGCGAAGAAAGAATAAATTAAAATCATCTAATATGTGTGCAGTAAATATAGAAAAGGAAGAAGAATAATAATTTGAATATTATCTACAATTTATAGACATAAAATTCTTTACTCTTTACATTTGGACTGCTGTTTTAATCGTTCATACTGTTACTTTAAATTGATTATATTTTTCTATAAGTGTATATATTTTCTCTCTATATATATTGAATAATAATTTTATTAATTAATTTCTATTTTATGGAATTTATATATAATTTCTCAACTGTTTCATATATATTTATATATATAATAATTTGTGTAATGGAAAAATGCAATAATTTCTATATTTTACTTATATAATAATAACGAATAAGATGTTTATATATTTTTTAAGATGTGAAAAATGTAATATTTATATACAAAATTTATAAATGAAGATATACATTAAATATATTAAACAAATATTATTCATTTTAACCACAAGTTTCTATAGAATCTAATGACTGTCTATTTTCAAATGTTTCACCCATTTCAAAACGTACAAAATCCAAGATTTCAATTTGTTCATTTTGTAATAATTGCTGTATAGAGAGTGCAGGATTAAACAAAAATTCTTGATACAGCATAATAGTTTCATCATCTACGTTATCTAAAGGTTCATCAATTTTTGGATCACCAATTTTTATTGGATTCATACCTAAATTAAAACACATATTATTATAAATATGAAATTTATTTTTTGAAAAATTAATTTTTTTATTATTTTTTCATGAAAAAAAAAGGAATAAAAATTATCTTAATAATAAACATAATTACCAATAACATGTTGACAAAGTTGCATTCCCAGCATTCTTTTTTTTATCAGATTTTAAAGCCAGTAATGCTCCGTATCTTCCAAAAGATGATGGTACTGGGTTTACAGGAGTAGGATGTGTACAACCATATAGATGTACACCTGGTTGCACACTCATGCATATTGCACGTCTTATATTGATGTTTTCTCCTATAAGCCCAATAGTTAAAGCAGAATGATCACTTAAACTTTTGCCATCTTCAGTGCATAGTTTATTTATCGATTCTGTACATAACATAGTTTTTTTAACCAATGAATCTTGATCAACTGTCATTCCATATTTTAACACAGTGGTAAGTATAATTTGTGCTAGATCATGAAATTTTTTATTTCTTGCTACAAAGTCTGTTTCACAATTTATCTCAACAAGTGCTCCATGATTTTTGTTAGTGATCATTGCTATTAATCCTTCAGAAGTTATTCTGGATTTTAGTTTCAATGCTTTATTCCAACCTTGAGATTGAGCCTGTTCATTTAACCATTCTTCAGCCTATAACATTTAAAAAAAATTAACAGTGTCCCTGTCATAATTTGTTAAATATTTTACCTTTTCCAAATCATTGTTATGTAGTTCTAGAGCTTTTTTACAATTTATAAATGTATATCCAGTTTTTTTACGCAATTTGCTTAATAATGTTTTCTTTGATGAATAACATAATATATAATTTGTATGTATCGAACGAAAAAATTGATGTGAAATCATCTGAAACATGTCACTTGTGTTATTTTGTAGAAAAAGATGTAGAAAAAGATTGAAAAAAAATTTAACATTAACGCGACCCCTTAACATTAACCTAACCTAAAAATATTTCAATTTTATTTTGATTTATATTATATTTAAACACAAAAATATTATAAGTAATCATATATAATTTTAAAAAATATTTTCATTTAAAATTTTTTATAAATTCTATAGAAACCAATCAATTTCGTTGCCTAGAAACTACAGTCAATTGCAGTCAAGAGTATTGCGTATTTGTAATCTAAAGATAAATGTATAAAAGAAGATTTTTAAGCATTTTGTTTTAAAATAACTGTTTTAAAATACTGTATCATTATTATTGGAACTTTTAATAATTTGAAAAAAATATTATTTTGTAATATACTTACTTTGCATACGATTTAAAGACGAAAATATAATTCAACTATCAAAATTGATTCCGAAAGTGGCGCCATCTGTAATAATACGAAATTCAATTGCAAGGTAGTAATTAATAAATATTAATTTTTTTTTTATTAATAAAATTTTCATTCAATCATTGTAATTATATTCAATCATTGATTTATTTATGTTGAAATTTTAAAATGATATATTAATTGTACATAATTTTATACATAATTTTTATTTTAATAACAGTATTTTTTTCAATTCTTTTTCTCTCATAGCAAACAGTTTCAGCATGGAATGCGAATGCATCGATGTGGAAACATGCGAGGGTATTTCGCATCCAGTGTTTAAAAAAAAAATTAAAGATGTACAAAAAATTTCAAAAGTAATTGATAAAATTGAGCCATTATTTACTTTACCACCTGAATTAATGAAATGTAATAGATGTAAACGAAAAAAGAAACGACTAGAGAAATTTTACAAACAAATTTATACAAGAAAACGATTAAATATCGAAAATTTTCGAAGGTCAGTTAATTATTCTTTTGTTAATTTTTTATTAATTTTCTCTCAAAGGGAAATGTTACAATAAAATATTAAATTAAAGTTTAAATTGATGATTATTTGTAGATTGATGGTCAGTTTAATCGTTAAAACTGAATTACCAGAAATAGATATAGATTTAAATAATGATGAGGATATAAACCGATATTATAATTATATTTATAATGGCGTTAATACTTTTCACACGCAAATTCAAGATAACATTTTAGAGAAGATATTAAATTTAGTTCCGTACTATTTGAGAAATCGATTCAATTATTACACGGAAGATTTGTTAATCGAAATTAGAGATACGTATACAAGGAATATGAAGAAAGCGATAGTGGAACACGCACTTCAAGATCCCATGGAATATTATTTACTAGAGGTTCGATTGAAATTATAGTTCGATTTAATTATATTTTTTTTATAACTAAAGTTTTATATATATGCGTGCATATATTTATTTCATAGAAATATTTTTTGATTTAACAGGAAGAAACTAGAAAAAATTTGCTTAAAATGACACACTATTTAACTCGATCAACAATTAGTGTTAAAAAATATTGCGAATATATAGAAGATCAATTATTTCTCATAAATCCTTGTATGAAGATGACTTTAGATTTCTGGGTTCGCGATTTTAGGTAAGAAATTATTCATTTTCATTCCTATTTTCATTTTGAAATGGAAATAAATTTTTTTCAGCGACTTTCGATTGATCGATTTAAATACAATAATCGAGTATGGATATAGTTGGGATTTGATGGAATTTAAAAAAATAATTAGTAAAGAAATTATGAAAAGTAGAAATATATTAAAGGATGTTTGGTATGCTGGAATCCAAAATATATTTCTTGTGGTAAAATTTTAACAATTATTATTTTTGATTATATATTATTCTCATAAAATTTATAACGATTTATTTCTCAACAGAATAATAGAAAAGGTTTGATTCCTAGTCCATTGAAACGTGTACGATTCAAAAAATTCTACGAATGCATTGCCAAAATAATGGAACAGCAGCTTTTGACAATGTGTATATCCAGCTTGAAAGATTATATAAATTTTATTATTCATGGCCAGGTGAACTATTTAATGCACGAGACAAAACGAACTATACAATAATTATACATTATTTGCAGCCAATTAAATGTGACTTCAATATAGATATAGTTGTCAGTTCGAAACAGCTTATTTTTAATCCATCCTTTGAAGATTTTAAGAACATTTTGTGTAATATATTAAACGAAATATGCGAAGGTGTAAGATTCTTCAAGAAATTAGAAACTGAACTTTATCTGGATTGGTCTGGTGAAGAAGGTTTTTTAGAGGTATAAAATCTCCATTATTATATCATCATATTATATTCATCGTTCGAATATCGTATTAAAATTATTCTTTTCTATGTATATATATATATATATAGCCATACATAGAGGCTTCTATGATAAAAGAACAACAGAACAAGATCATTGATTTGATCGATCGAGAAAAATGCATTCCAGAAAAGTTATTGTTAAAATTACAAAAGTAACGATCAATTTTTATTGAATATATAATTGAGTGATTTATAATTTTTATATATATTATTTTATATATATTAATTTATTACAGATACGAATTTTTATACAGCGAGTATGAGTATAATTTAATGGAAATATTTGTAAAAGATGAGTTCAAACAATTACACGAATATAATGAGCTTATAGAAAAGTATCATATTCTTATGTTAAATTTTCCCATGAGAATTCAAAAGACAGCTTTTACGGGATTGTTCAAGGTATCTCGAAAAATTTTCATCGAGACGATTGTCGAGTACGTCAATCGTATAAGACAACTTCTCATTAACTCGTTGATCGAGAGATACCAAAATATCGCCAAGGAGTAAGTATTGACATTAAAAGATCGATTAGAAAAAAGAAAAAAAACATCATAACGACAATAAAATTTATTCATTATTGCATTAATGACGATATTAAATATATTAAATAAAATTAAATTGAATAAATATAAATTAAATAAAATAACGATTTAGAGTTGCAGAACAATATCAAATGATATCTGACCGTGCTTTGAGCACGCCCAATAATACAGCCGAGTTGGTAGTGCTTAAAAATTTTATTAAGATGATTTTAGAAGTCACTTTAAAGAAGTTGGAAGACAAACTCCGCGAAATAATCGAACACATCCTGATATTGTCCAATTATCATTGTATCACGGATAACGAGATATATATCAACAACATTACGTTTCAGTGGTATCATAAGATACCTCAAATTTTGGAAGAAAACGAGTCTATCGTTGGATACAAGACATTAGAATTTCAACAGGCATTAAGAGGTGTGCTAAGATTTGAAAAGAAACGAGAGAGAAATGCGTATTAAAAAGAAATTGACGATTCTTTCTCGTTTCAATAGTCAGGTACATCAGGTTTGAAGAGGAATTGGAATCTTGCGCGAAACAAGTGGATGAGATAGAAAATTGGGGAGACATCGCGGAGGTGTACAAATATCAGAAACGGGCACAAATTTTAGAAAATCGTTTGATCGCTGCTATGGATAAGATCGATAAGTTTAACGAGGAGGAAGCTGCGTTCGGTTGGGAAATAACGCAATATCCGCGCCGCAAACAGATCGCTGATCAATTAAAGCCCTACAAGCAACTCTTTGACGTGATTTGCGACTTTTTGACTAAGCACGATAAATGGTTACATTCGATGGTCGGTACATATTATCCCGAAGAAATCGATAACGACGTAGGAATAGCATTCAGGTCAATATAATATATATATATATATATATATATATATATATATATTATTTTAATATTACGATTTTTTATTTAGAAACGAGAAATTTCTCCACTTTGATTTCACACTTTGATAGAACAGATTGATCTACAAATTGGAGAGAAGTTTTCAAGAGCCAGCTTTGAGACAGTTGGCAGCAGGTGTACGGGACAAAATAGAGGATTTCAGGGAGCATATGCCGATCATTTATACGCTCGGTAATCCGGCGTTGAAGGAACGTCATTGGGAACAAATTTCGGCGATCATAGGTATTCCTATAAAAGTCGATGTCGATTTAACCTTGGCGAAGATCATCGACATGGGACTACTCCCTCTCGTGAGTCAGTTCGAGAGCATCTCGGATAACGCCTCGAAGGAGGCTACACTGGAGAAGGCTATGGACAAGATGGAGAAGGATTGGGCCGATTTATATTTCACGGTTAATCCTTTCAAGGACACTGGCACATACGTCATCGCCGGTGTCGACGATATACAACTTCTTCTGGATGATCACATCGTTAGAACAGTAACCATAAAGAATTCGCCGAACATAAAACCGTTTGAAGAAAGAATACTGTGAGAAGATTAATCGGGAAATTGGGAAATGGCGACTGATATAATATTTTATATTATAATCGTTAAACGCGATATCTTCTATGGACGCGAAATCGAAGTATAAAATATTTTTACCGGTTGCCATTCTCCTTCGCGTTATATATATTCGAAATTAAACGAGAATTTAACGAATCCAACAAACCCTGTTTGAACAGGAAATGGGAGTCTAAGTTGCATTTGCTGCAAGATATTTTGGACCAGTGGCTCCGCGTCCAAGCAATCTGGATGTACTTGGAGCCGATCTTTACATCGCCGGATATTCAACAACAGATGCCAGAGGAGGGGAGAAAATTCTCTGCCGTGGATAAAACTTGGCGCGACATTATGAAGACTGTTTACGCTGATTCTAGGGTTTTCGTGGTCATCGAGATCGACAAGATGTTGGAACGGTTAAAGAAGAGTTACGGATTGTTAGAGGATATCCAAAAGGGTTTGAACGAGTATCTGGAGAGGAAACGCCTCTTCTTCCCGAGATTCTTCTTCCTGTCCAACGACGAGCTGTTGGAAATTCTGTCCGAGACGAAGGATCCGACTCGGTAATGAAAATTCACTCTGCGATAATATCGCAGAAGAATTCGTGAAGAAATCGATCGATCTGAATTATATATTGTTTAGCGTGCAACCACATTTGAGAAAATGTTTCGAGGGGATACATTCGTTGAGGTTCAACGAGGATCTCGAAGTGTTAGCTATGCGGTCAACGGAGGGTGAGGAAGTAGACCTGATAGAGACGATATCCACTCTGGCTACCAGAGGACAAGTGGAGAAATGGCTGATCGAGTTGGAGAGAATCATGAGACTGAGCATAAGGAACGAGGTGTATCTAGCGATACAGGCGTATCCTACGAAAGAGAGGAGGTTGTGGGTTCTGGATTGGCCCGGTCAAACGATACTCTGCGTCGGTAAAACGTACTGGACCCTACGCATAGAGCAATCCATGTTGCTCGGTATAGAGGGCCTGTACAGATACTTGGACCAGTGTCAGAGGGAGTTGAACGAGATCATATTGCTGATCAGAGGCATATTGACGAAACAGAATCGCATCACTCTAGGTGGCTCTTCCATCGAAATTTCTATTTTTCTTTTCGTTATCACTCGTCGATAAAATTGTACACGATAATTCGTTCGCAGAGGCTTTGGTCACGTTGGACGTCCACGGGAAAGACACTCTCGCGGAATTGTGCAAAGACAACGTGGTGAAGAACACAGACTTTAAATGGTTGTGTCACTTGCGCTATTATTGGCTGGTCGCTATCACTAATCATTTTTCAACGATCATCTTTTCAAACGATTTCACGACACGATGAGAAATGTTTGTTTCTTCATTTTCAGGAAGATAACATGTGGGCTTACATGATAAATTCAAAGCTGCGTTACGGGTACGAGTATCTGGGCAATTCTTCGAGATTAGTGATCACCCCTTTAACGGATCGATGCTATCGAACGTTGTTCGGCGCCCTGCACCTACACCTAGGCGGGGCGCCCGAGGGGCCGGCCGGAACCGGTAAAACGGAAACGACGAAGGATCTCGCGAAAGCCGTGGCCAAGCAATGCGTCGTGTTCAATTGTTCCGAGGGTTTGGATTATCTCGCGTTGGGCAAATTCTTCAAAGGATTGGCCTCTTGCGGCGCCTGGTCCTGCTTCGACGAATTCAATCGTATCGACCTGGAAGTTTTGTCGGTGGTCGCCCAACAAATCCTAACGATTCAACGGGCCATACTCAGCGGGGCGGAGAAAATCGTTTTCGAGGGTACCGAGATCTTCTTAGACCCGACCTGCGCCATTTTCATTACCATGAATCCCGGTTACGCGGGCAGATCCGAATTACCGGACAATTTGAAGGCGTTGTTCCGCCCCGTGACCATGATGGTGCCCGATTACGCGTTGATCGCCGAGAACACCCTCTACTCGTACGGATTCTACAACGGTAGGCCTTTGGCCGTTAAAATCGTCACGGCTTACAGGCTCTGCTCCGAGCAGTTGAGCAGCCAGCATCATTACGACTACGGTATGAGGGCCGTCAAGTCCGT